TTTATTTTTTTTTTTTTTTTTTTTTTTGGTTTCCATCCCTATGAAATTACTCCCAACCTTTCTTCAATTTCCTTCGCGTCACGCTTCGTCAATTTCTTTTACATCGCGTCTCCTCAATTTCGACCTTCGTAATTTTCGTCATCTAGAAATCTCGACCTCGGCTTTACTCTCTGGCATAATTATTCTGGCTAGCGACGAATTAAATTTCACAAAAAAAAAAAAAAATTTTTTTTTTGCACACTCACCTTCGCAAGTTCAAGAGCAATGGCATTCGCGCCTATTTATGCGCGCTTGCGACACTTCCGTCGACTCTGGGAAACGCGTCGCGACGCCAGGCTGAGCCGCGATTATACCTAAGGTGGAGAATTAAAAAAAAAATATTGCACGGAAAAAAAATTAAATTTCTCCCCACGTCATAAACTATAATGATCCATAAATATATTCAACCCATGCATTAATTACAACTATTAATGTTCGTCCACACGATTAATGTTCGATCACTGCCATGATCTCCACGTGTCCTTCGCACTGCCGTTTAAATCAGGGAATCCGGTGCTCAGACTTCGTGCTTCTTCTATCCACAAACTAAAACCGCATTTTCTCCTTGTCGAGTCGTTAGAATCATTCAAGGTATATTGGGACAGCAGTGTATTTTTTTCGAGCGATTTAAGGGATGAAAAAAAGTACGAATGACCTCGTGATACGTGGAAGCAAAGAATCGACTGTTAAACAATAAGTTTGTCTGTTACTGTGTAGCCGAGGATCACGTGTGACGTGACTCTACGGGACACGCGTGAATTATGCTAATTGGCCGAACCGCCGTTGGCCATAGGGGAGAGAGAGAGAGTTAATTCGAAGGGTGCACGCAAAGGGGTGTGGCTTTAACTATAAAGTTAAATCGTTAAACTTTCCATCCCCCGCTGTTGTACGAGCTGATCCTCCTAGGAAAATATAGTTACCCCTAACCGAGAGAGAAACCACAATACCACCCCCCCGATACTCGATAGGTCGGACACAATAGAAGATGAAAAAACAATTTGTTTACTTTTCCAAAATTACTTTTTTTTTTCAAAATTTCTGAATCGTCCCTCTTACTCTTGTACTTGGAATCCAAAGGCACCTTCGTGAAGCTTTAGGGAGAAGGTGCAGCGCGTCGTCCTCGCCCTTTCGCCTGACGTCCCTTTCAGTCAAGGGGGTGAAATCCGCTGGAATGTTCATGCGGGAGTACGACGAACATTGGGCGCCACCATCAGGACCCTAGGCAATACAGGGTAGCGTGGCGCCGCGACGTCCAGATCGATCGCCACGACGCTTCTAGGGATAGTCGATCGTACCAATACAACCTAGACGGAAATAACCGCGAAACCATCCCGTATATGATTAGATAACAAATAATTGTCATAACGTGCCCGGTTTTTTTTTTTTTTCAAATTGAAATTTGTAAAATTGACATTTTTTCTACTTTCTTTTTTTTTACAGCGAAGGAAGAGAGAGGGTACGAGTATCTCTATTGGAACCGGCGCCCTCGCCCGCGACGCCGGGCGTCCTTCTCCTGGAACCAGTCATCCCTCCGGGTCACCTTGTAGACGCCATGGCTACCAGCCCTGCGGAACTTCTTACTACTCACACGGATCACACCACTCCCACCTACCACACGCAGATCAGGTAGGTGACCGGTGGGAGAAAAATCTTTCAAATTTGATACGAGACCATGAGAACCCCTGCGCACGGGATAATTAGCTCCCCGTATGATTCGCGCGACCCCGTCGACCTTAATCGGCCGGAAGTGACGTGGTACTCCACTACGAGACTACGGGGCTACGTAGCTATGGGCCTGTCTGCTGCAATTTGATTTTCCACATTGAATCTACCTACCTTCAGGTATTTAAGCGCCTGTCCCCTGTCCAGTCTCCATCCGATCACGTTGAATTTCAAAAACTAATTCCCTGCATTATCCCAAACTCACGCAGGTCTTCCATTCGAGTGACAGGAGCTTTGAGGAGTTTCCCACGATTCGGAGAGGCGTGAACTTTCCCCGAGGACTGTACGACTCCACCGAATTATCAGAGAGTTCTCGGGGCGTCTCGTGATACAAGAGGGAGGATCGAGAGTGGCCCTATGTTCTTTTGAAGCACGAAGGGCTGCTTCCACTTGATTTTAAAACACCCGTCGACAAGAGAACAGTCCCTCTCCACGTGCCCAGATTGTCTTCAATTCTTCTAATTGACTCTGTGACAAAGCAAAGCCGGAGCCGTGCCTCGGTATCTAATTCGGTGTTACAGATAACAGAATTCACGGTAAGAGAGAAGTCCAGAGCCCAAGAGAGATGCGCACGCGTATAATTAGAAAAGGCAAAGAATAGAACGGGCGATGGAGTGACAAGAGTGGACTGAATATACCGAAGAAGAAAAGGCGCAGACGACGGGGCAAATAGCTCGGGAAAGGATAAGAACGGGGTGGAACGGAGAGCTGGAGGAGGAGAGTGGAGAAAGTAGAAGAGGGAAAGGGAGAAGAATGGAAAGGAGAGTAAAATGGAGGCTGAAAGTAGAACTCGGGTAGGACCGCGGAGTAGCAGAAGCATAGAGCTGAGCGGAGCGAAGGAGAGAGAGAGAGAGAGAGAGAGAGAAGCATTGGGGATCGATATAGCGTGGGTGGGTGGACGAGCAGAGGCGCAGTAAGGCAACCACCAGTCGTGCTGCTGCCTGGCACTGCTGCTCTGCACCTCCGTGCACTGCGCGCTGGCTGCATCCAAGAACGCACCCGGCATCCATAACTTCAGAGTCGGCTTGTCGCACGTTAATTTCCCTCCAAATCTCGAACGCATCGATGTCGGTACACTTTGCGCGATCCCTGTTTTACCGATCGATCGAACCCGGTGCAGCCCGACGCGAATACGTCTCTTACGTGCGTTCCTTGGTTTCCGCGCGACCCACCGGGCAATAGAGGAATTCCAGCCTGGGGGGTGGTAGGGACGCCCGGCGCTGTCCTTGGATCCTTCGAGGGGG